ACAAGGGCTTCTATAAGGGTACTATAAGGGGTTCTATAGGGGTAGCTCCCTGAATGAGGGTTCTCTTTTTATAAGGGTGCCGTACTAAAATGGGGGACCTCAAGTTGAAACGATGCCTGAATTTAGAACACGACCCTAATGTAGCCACCCAGTGTAGGGGCCTTAATAGTTAGAATCGAGTTTTGGGGCCCTTTGAGGGATCCTCCCCCAGAGGCTTCTAGAAGGGCTACTTTGAGGGTTCTACCAAAGCCCAATCCGTAATCCTGAGCCCTACACATGAACCCCAGCACCCTAAACCCTAAACCCCTAAACCCCTAAACCCTAAACCCTTATATACCCTAAGCCTCTAAACCCTGCACCCCTAAACCCTGTACCCTGAAACTCTGTACACAAGCTGGAGCCCGAACTCATCCAAACCAACCTGTACTTGCGAGGAGTCTGCCGTGGGCTGCCGGGTCAGGGATGTACTGCTATGCTGAGGCGGGGGACTTGGCGAGCACGCTTAGAGTTTAGAAGTTACCTCATGATTTTACATAAGTAGTGAATAATGCAAAAACAGCCATTATCCCATGTAATTATCCTGCTTGTAACCCTGCTTAGGAACCTCCCCGTTTAGTAAGGGACTGTGCTTAAGATCAAATGGCGCACTGCGGTAGGGGCTTTTGCTGCGCAGGGCTTCGAGGAAGAAGTTCTCTCACAGGCTGGAGGTTTACAAGGTTGAAGTCAAGTTTGAGGCTTCAAGCTTTCTTTTGCACAGCTTAGAGAGCTTTTGGGCTTAGAAAGCTTTTGGGCTTAGAAAGACTTGGATATGGGGCCGCTGAGTATCTAGTTTGCGTAATGTGAGACTCGAATCTTCAACGCTTGGGGCTACAAGTTTGGGTGGGTAAAGTCTTACGGAATAAAGCCTTACGAAACCTAGACTAGATCCTGAAATCGCACACCCTACCAGAACCCCCAACCGTCTTCTACATCATACAGCATATAGCAATCCAAGCTATATGGGCCCTTGCAGTACCATTTATTCGACTCTTATGGAAGCCACATAGTCACCCTGAAGCTCCCCAACCACGACGGAGTACCCGAGGACCGGGCCGCGCGAAGTACGTTGCAAGATTGGACCTCGCAACGTAAAAAAACTCTAGAGGTGTTCATAGTGGTTCTATCAGGACTTTACTTGCGGGATCTTTATGGGGCTTTATGCCAGGATGCCATGTTGTGATAGGGCGCGAAATGCTCGGCATGATGGTACCGGGGTGAGTTTCGGGACCCCTTCACACATCACACCCTCAACTGATCCGTGCCCTTAAAAGCAGCAGATTTTCTGTGACTTCAGTGCTAAGCTAAAGTGTAGATCCGAGCAGCTATCTGGCGTCCTAACAGCTGAGCAATTGCTCAGCATAACCCAGGGCTGTCCTTTTCAGGGACACGGGCACGGCCTCATACTGAGTTTCTGGTATCTACGAAAGCCCTGGAAGAGGGTTCCAGAAGGACAGCCCTGCATCATTCAGCCATTTTCTGGCGAAGGACGGATCCACGCCTAGCATCGAGAAACGGGACTGCCAAGTGCTGATTATTAATTATTGTGGTTGTTACATTGTCATTATGACTATAATTATTATTGTTATTCTTGGTAATGCAAGGTTTCGGAACTCGGGATTTGAATAGTCTTCGGCGCTGAAATCTTCAGTTGCACCCCGCCAGGCGTGAGCCTGCCTAAGCCCCTTGCATGGTGAGACAGCAACACAGCCCATTGAATTTCAGGCTCTCATGATTCAGCCCAAAGGGAGAAAAGTTTGCGGAGGCTGTCTTTCCAGCCATCTAAACGAAGGCTGAGCTAAATCGCTTTACAGCCTGGGGTCCTCCGGGGTAGTCTGGGCCAGTGACCCCCGCCACAAAGGATCCCGTGGTAGATGTGAACTTTGCACCGGCTCTACTTCGTGCTATAAACACGGCGGGTCCGGCAAGTTGTCTGGCAAGTCCGGATAGCGCTTGCCAAACAAGGCGATGACCTAAGAGCAGCTGCGGCTTCGCATGTAGGAGGGAACCCTATAGTAGGCCCTATAGTATAGTATACATATTCCAACACCGAACTCTAAGGACACGAAAACATGACCAGAACATCGGTACTGCTATGTAACTGATGAAAATGAGAACGCTGACTAGCTCAGTCGCTTCTCAACATTCGATGTCTGGCGAGGTTGTAGGGCGGAAAGCATCAGCCTTCAATTGCATAATATGGGTGGGCAACCACCTCAACTTGCCACCACCGCTACCGCCGCTGGTGTAACTATCAGTAAAGATGCACTTTAAATGGCCAGTCGCTCTGTAAGATGCGGGTATCAGGTGCAAGGTGCACTTTGTCAGAAAGCCCCCCGCCATATCTCCTTCGTGTTTGCTGCGACTAGCAGCTTGACTCCCAGGGCCCCTGGAAGTTGCTCCTACACCAAGGCACAATGTCACAAAGCTCCTACCTATAGTCTCCATCGTAATTCTTTTTTCAAGGTTATCTTATAGGATCCGGAATATAAGACTGGTTAAGCCAAATAGGAAAGACAATGGAGACTGTTGGAACAAGCCAAATATGTCCAAATGTACGCCTGCCGGACATAGGATGCCTCTTGCTGCACCCGGTAATGCCGCAGAGCCACCTGCGCCATACCTCATGGGAGATGTGGGGACCCAGTCCCTATCCTAAACTCCACACCCGCACGGAATTCATGGACACTGCGGGTTCGGACCCAAGTGATGATCCATACGACCACCACCCACAATTAACAAGTTTTGTAGTCGCCAAGTTAGGTTCTACCCGTAGGCCCCTAAGTAGTTCCTTTTTTGGGATTATCTTATAGGGTTCGAAAATTCTAAACCACAAAAAGCAACCACTTAGGGGCCTAGGGGAAAGCATTAGAACTCCGAGTCTCCAACGCTTGCAGGACCCTTGCGAAAATTTCGTTGCACTGACTGATCCAAGCCACACCCATAGGCTCCTAAGTAGTTCCTTTTTATGGCTCATATTCAGAATCCTATAAGGTAATCCCATAAAGGAACTACTAAGGAGCCTCTGGGCATTCACTTCACTGAAACCCAGAATCTACGTGGGCACCCACGACAACCCGACACAGATAAACCCAAACACCCCACAACCAACATACATGCAAGCCTGACGCCTAAGACACTAAATAGGCCGTGAACACAAAGCACTAAGACTGTATGAACCAGAGCACCTTAAACACAAAAATAGCAACCTGAAACCTAAGACCTTACAAACCCTAACACTTCTTGCTGCGAGGTCTCTGCCTCGCGACCCTTTGGTGCAAACACCTCCCTCCCAAAACGCAAAACACTCAAGCCTAAGGACCCTGTAAGCTTAACGCGCTATGTAATCCCTCAGGCTCTAGCATAGTGTGGGAGATCGTCATGGGATTTTGAAAGCGCTTGAACAGGAGGTGCTTATAAGGTTTACGGTCCATGTACCCATATGGTACATATTCGGGCTGTAGAAGGATACTTTCAGTCAAGCTTTTTCAGTATATAGGTACGCAAACCCTTTGGGAATTGATATGCTTAGGATTAAAGGGTCAGCTTAAACTTTGGTTGGAGAGTGTAAGAACCAGGAACGCTCAACATCGCTTATCAGCTGCCTACTCAGCAGCTAAGTTAGGGTTTCGGGAACTCTCTCTAGGGTCCTATTAGAATGCAAGCTGCGGGAGTTGCAACGTTCCTCGTTGTGACGCTCGTTCCACCAAGCGGTGCCGTTGCCGTCGTCGGTAATTTTCTCCTGTGCGTTGCCGAGGCGCTGAACTGTCTTACGTTTCTTGAGGGGGCCAACCCAACTCATGGTCAGGATAATGCAGTCAGGAAAGCAAAGAAACCAAAAAGGCAGGAGCAAAGTATCGTTCAACCTTGTGCATGAGCAATGCCAAAGAGGCAGCAGGAAAGTATCGTTCAACCTTGTGCAACAAAGAAACTACGAAATTTGTGAGCAAGATACACATCAACGACTTCCGGCCCTGCCACCTCACCCCATGCTTACAAACCGTGGATACATGTTCCTGCTGTGCCTGAGTCTAGGAAACACCCGTTAAGTAGTGTTAAATGCTAAGTCCTAAGCCTGGAATTCCAAACACTAACTTATCAGTCCCAGGCCCTAGGCCCATAAAGCATGAACCCGACAAAGCCTGAGGAAAACTTTCGACCCTGTGTAAGTCCCAAACCCTCTACATCCGAATACGTACACAATGAAGGGTCCAGCATGAGCTTCCCATGTCTGCTGAGTCTGGTGAATCGGCACGACCCATGAAACTTCATGAACCTGTTCCGTGGTTTTACGTCTGAAAACGCAAGTCACATCTAATGCTAAAGCCTATAAGCGCCGCGATCTGATGCCTTCACTGTTGATTTTATCCAGTTTACCTTGAGCCCTTGAGGAAAAGCCGAAGACTTTAGTCCTGCTACGCAGCGCTTTCACCCAAGCCAACGCCCTAGTACTGGTACCTAAACCCCCATGAGCCCTAACTCCCTGGACCAAGGTCGCTGAAAGAAAGGTCCCGTATACCGTACGCAGCCGAGACACGTACTCAATGTTGCCAGTAGGACCATCCCTCAGTGGAGAAGGGTTTTGGGGTCAGGGGAGCAGGTAAGCGAGGTACACCCTTTTTCCAATCTGCATGGTCGGGGTCCTACAGAAAGAAGCCTAAACTCCTAAACCCTTTAAAGTCAATCACACAATCGACAACTCAAGGAACAGATAAGGCCGATCCGGAAATGCATTGAGGGACAGGTGTATGGCTTGGATTTCAAGAAAAGCTGTGATTTACAGGAACAAACCGTACATACGCAACAACATAACATGGAGGTCGAGATTAGGCGTGGTTCTGGGGCCTCATGCACTCATGCACTTATCAATTTTCGGGAGCCGTGAAGAGAAATGCAAGCAGCTATCCAGGCCCTTAATATCACCCTGATTGAAGCTTCCATGAAAGGCAAGTCTTTGTCCTGTGTAGCGCCTCACTCTTCCACAAACCCAATATCAATATACATACCTACATACATACATACATTCATTCATTCATTCATTCATTCATTCATTCATTCATTCATTCATACATGCATGCATACATACATACATACGTACATACATACATGTATACATACATGCGTACATACATACCTACGTACCTACAAACCTACAAACCTACATACCTACCTACCTACCTACCTACCTACCTACCTACATACGTACATACATACATACATACATACATACATACATGTATGCTTGCACCCAAACACAAACATACATGCATACATGTATGCTTACACCCATACATACATACATACATACGTACATACATACATACACGCCTACGCTCCTACAAGCCTACATACCTACATACCTACCTAGCTAACTACCTACCTACCTGCCTGCCTGCCTGCCTGCCTACCTACCTACCTATCTACCTACCTGCATACTTCATACATGCATACATGCATACGTGCATACATGCATACATGCATACATGCATACATTCATACATACGCTATACGCATGCGCTCATAGTATACATATATATATATGCACAACTTATAGTGTGCAGAACTGATGTAGGTTGCAGAAAGCTCCGAGAAGTCTGGGCTCACAACCCCTCGAAGCCTTCTGCCCGAAGAAAAATGAAAGTGCCAAGAAACAGATGTTTCAGTTCAATAGCTTCGTTTTTCAATTGGGCAGTTCAACGGCTTAGGGTTTTGGGTTCAGGGTCTAGGGTTGATTGAACAAGGCTTCACGTGTTCACGGGTGAGGACCTTGTTCTAGCCGGTAACCTTTGAATATGGTTCAGGGTTTATCGGACTTGGGATTTAAGGGTTTACAGGGTTTAGGCGTGAGGCCGTTGCGGGTTGAGGCGTTACGGTACTGAGGTTTCATGGATTGGCTAGCAAATGCGGTTGGTTGGCCTACTTGAGCCCCATCGAGCTCACAGCGCAAACACACCGCATAGCAGAACACACATGCTGAACCAACAACATCGAACCAACAAAAAAAAGCTTTCACCCTCCTTGCCAACACAATACAAGCCCAAAGCCTTTAAACCCCAAGCCTTTCTATGACGTCTCGCAGACACATAAAAGGACGGCACCACACACACACACAAACAAACCACAAACAAACATAGAAAAAACAACACAAACACAACCTACAGCCATCTGAGGACAGCACTCGTCGACCCACCATTTCTCGTAGTCGGGGATTCCTGCAGCTTCAAGTCACACAATTCTGGGAGAGGGTTCAGGGTTTTTCGGTGTTGTGACTTATTGTTCTCTTTGCTTTTGAAAGGGCCGCTGCCATCTGCCAGGCAGGTGCTGTTCTTAGGGTCCAGGGTTTCGGGGTTTTGTGTGCACTTACGGTCCTTTTTGTTGAGGAGTTCAGGGTTTAGGTTCTTAGGCCAAACCTTGAACTCTAAATCCTAAGGTTTGGCGTATGAGGCTTACCTTGAACTACCATAACCGACCTTTCTTGTAGGTTCTTATGATCGACCCTAACATAGAGGGTATAGGGACCCTACACAAAAAGGAGGTTTTGGTAGTTCAAGGTAGCTATAAAGCTTATTATAGACCCTGATATAGGGCTCTATCATTATAGACCCTAATATAGAAGGTAACCCTGATATAGGGTTCTTATTTATAGACCCTAGTATAGAAAGGTAGTTTAGGGTAGTTATACAGCTTATTATAGACCCTGATATAGGGCTCTTATTATAGACCCTAATATAGAAGGTACCCATAGGCTTTTATATTCAGAATCCTATACGGTAACCCCCCAAAAGGAACCACTTTGGAGCCTATGGGTAGTTTAAGGTAGTTATACAGCTTAGTATAGACCCTAATAATATAGGGTTCTTATTTATAGACCCCAACATAGGGTTCTTATATTTACAGACCCCAATATAGGGTTCTTATTTCTAGACCCTAATATGGAAGGTAGTTTAAAGTAGAGAACCCTAAACCCTAAACCCTGAAACCCTAAACCCCTGAACCCTAAAACCCTAAACCCTAAACCCCTAAACCCCTAAACCCTAAACCCCCTAAGGCTTAGGTAGTTTAAGGCGGAGTTTCGGGTCGACGGGGCTCGAGCTCGAGGATGGCTTGGGGCTTTCGCGGGATCGAGGCGTCGAGGCTCGAGGCAACGGGTCATCGAAGGTTTTTTTTTTTTAATGAGGGGGGGGGGTTGAAGAGGCTTATAAGGGTTTAGGGTTTCGGGTTTCGGGTTTAGGGTTTCAGGTTTAAGGCTTTAGGAGTTTAGGGTTCAGGAGTTTCGGGGTTTAGGAGTTTAGGGTTTCGGGATAGGAAGTTGTGACTACAATCAGAAGTATACTAATGGCATCTTAGGTGCTTACCTCAGCCTAAACCTTGGACCCTGGAGCGTAATTCCTGAGACCCCTCAACTCATCAGGCCCGAGTGCCTGTTCTATCCTGCACCTGCAATCCGAAAGTCAACAAAAACGCACAACCACCTGCAGTTGACCTACGAACCTTTTTGAAAAACCGAAGCCCAATGGGACTCAATTTGCTACGACCCCCTTACCCCCCGATTCTTCAAGCACAGCCTTCAACACCGAAACCCTAAACCCCCGAACCCAACGCCCAAAGCCTATAACCGTTACACACTATAAAACCCTACAAACCGCTGTGAAAGAGAAATCCGTCAACCCGAAAACTGGATGTCAGGTCCTTCCAACTCGTCCAGCTCGACCTACCCAGCGGGCAAGGGCATGCATTTAGAAGTCTTTACGTGTTCAGGGTTTACGGGTTTAGGGGTAAGGGTTGTCTATATTGCAGAAAGAGAGACAACGAGAGAGAGAGAGAGAGAGACAGCAAGAGAAGGAGAGAGAGAGAGAGAGGAGAGCTCAGAGAGCAACGTAGATGCCAAATTTAAGTGCACCTCTCAACTTTCATCCAATGCTCTTCGTGCATGAAACAGGGTTTCCCACACTTCGCGGACCTCTTTCACAATGCTCTGAATCTCCAAATACCCTAAACCCGAAACCCTAAACCCAGGGGTCCAAATCCAGGCCTGAACCTTATGGCACCAGGACGCCGGAAGGTACACTTCGTCGTGCCTCCTTCCTTCCCAAAACCGCTTGTAAACCCTATTCAATCGGACCCCCCACTGTGTGGGGTCTTCTTCCTTGCCCTATGGCGGTAATCAACCTTACACCCTCAGCCGCCTTAAAGCTTATCGACCTCCTGCACCCTACCCATAGGGCCATAAGTAGTTCCTTTTTATGGTATATATTTAGAATCCTATAAGGTAATCCCAAAAAGGAACTACTTAGGGGCCTATGGGTATTTAGACCCGCCGAACCTCTATACGGGAAGTATAAGCCTCCTATACTCGACCCTGCACCCCAATCCGTAAGTAGAGCCCGCCTATAACGTGAAACTGAATACTAAATCCACTATGGGCACTCTAAACTGCAAGTGTAGACCTCCTGCACCCAAAACCCCACCCAGATCGTAGGGATCTTCCTTTCTCTCAGGTCTCTTGAATATGGGTTTAGGGCTGAGGCTTTAGAGCTTAGGGGTTTAGGGGGTAGGGTTTCGGGATTAGGGCTATAGGTGTTGGGTTTACGAGTTCAGGGTTTAAGCGGAGCTCTCCCGGACCCTAAACCCTAAAAGGGAACCTAAACCCTGGCCCTAAACCCTAAACCCTGCAAAGCACGCTAAGGCCCGCTTCGAGGGATCTCCGGGTCAAGAAATGCCTGACTTTCTGGTCCGTGATCGCGTGTATCTCTAGCAAGAGGCTTGAAATATGTAGATAGATGGTTCTCTCTCTTTCTATATATATATATAAACATACATACATACATACATACATACATACATACATACATGCATACGCACACACATACATACATACATACATACATACATACATACTTACATATATGTTTATTTGTTCGTTTATTTATTTATTTATACACGTATAATCGCAATATATGCACTGAGAGAGATCTAGTAACAGTATAAAGAGAAACACAGAAAGGGACAGGAATGCCAGGATGATCGCACGTAAGATATTTTAAAAAAAACGCTTCTGGCTGTCATATTATCTAAAGAAGTATAAGACATCTTGAGTCCAGCCTTAAAGGAATTCTTAGCCCTGCCCACCTTCATCTATATAGCCCTGCAAGCCCCTTAACAACCGATCTATGCCCTGTAGAAATCCTATTAAAGCCCTATGACTATGTGTTGAGATACCCTAAACCCCTAAACCCTAAACCCCTAAACCTCTAAACCCTACACCCCTAAACCCTAAACCCCTAAACCCTAAGGTATGCCAGGCCTGGCCAGCATAACGCACGTTGTAGGTGCACGTCAAGGAGCCGTCCGGGTGGTCGCACTTAGCGCCTTAAGGGGTTTAGGGTTTAGGGGTTTAGGGGTTGAGGGTTTATAGGGTTTTGAGGGCTCTGCTTAGAGGTCGACTGAAAATCTCATATAGGGGCCTTAATAAGTAGACTCTAGGGCTTTGGGCTGCAGTAAAATAAGTGTATGATAAGGAGCCCTATAAGGAATAGTAATAGTAATTGCTTGGGGGCCCCTATATTACAAACCCTGAATCCAAACCCTAAGCCAGAACTGCGTCCCAGGCTTGACCATCAAATGCTCAAGCTAATTCTGTATCTCGGTGCTTGAAACTGTAAAGGTTTAGGTGGGGTTTAGGGTTTCGGGCTTTAGGGTTCTAGGGCTTAGGGTTTTAGGTCTTAGGGTTTTAGGGTTTAGGTTTAGGGTGTTCACAGTCAGCGTCGCGAGGTGCTCCAGCACCGGATACCCCTTTCTGGGATATTATTGATCCAGACTCATATCGGGGTTTCCGAAAATAGGGGACCCCAATGTAGTACCCTAAATAGTAGGTAGGCTCCTTATTATAAGGACCCCAAAATAAGGTATCCTAATTTTCGGAAAGTCCCATAGTCAAACTATCACGATGCATACAAGACGAGCAGCTTGCAGCACTGCGGTTGAAGATTTCAGGAACAATGCAAAGGAAGGAAATCAGGGGAGATCGCCGTAGGATCACGGATCTTACGCTGCACTACATGTTACTTGAGCCAAGGCTATCCCAAACGCAGGGGCCTTGATGAATAACAACAGGATACACAACTATATAACGACAGAGCGGCGATACTAGCATGAACTATCCAGACCTCGAAGCTAAACACCAAAGCCTGCACACTCCTGCGACTTCGGATTCAGACGGCAAGATCACCCCAAACTTGAAGCTTTACACGACATCCTAAACTGTCCGGTCCAGGGTATAGGGTTTAGGCAAAATCAATCTCAACACCCCCCAGAACGTTCTTGAAGGGTCAGGGGACCAAGCAAACAGTTTAAAAGAAGTGCTATACAAGACCTCACACACATAATATATGTATATATATATGTATAATAACATACACAAGACTTAAATCAGCAAGAAAATAAACACATACACACGCTGACAAAAGAGGTGCACACAACAAGAGCTCCCTCCCTTCTGAACCCCAAGCCCTAAACCCTAAACCCTAAACTCTGAACCCTAAACCCTAGACATCGTCGACTCGCTCAGCTCCTGGCTTGGGTACTGCTCCTCGCACTCGTCCTTGGGTGGCTGCTGTAGGGCTTTCTTTTCGGGCTTTTAGGGTTTTAGGGTTCTTGGGTTTAGGCTTAGGGTTTTAGGCCTTTCTTTTGAGACCCATCGAACCCAAGCAGATCGATGAATTTATGGGATCCGACCATCCACGAAAAAAACGTCACATGACACCTCCAACCCGAAAAAACCCGGGGACATCTCAATGGCCAGGCATCCGTCTTGTGGTAGAGAGTTTTGTGAGGGCATGCCCCGGGCAGAGAGTACCAGGTGCCACTGACGCACTCCTGGGCTCTGTCGAAGGTTCAAGGCTGATTGCCAGGGAGGCTTCAAGACGTTGTGAGGGCTTCAGGGTACTTGGTGCTGCCTCCATGTCCATATAACCTTATGGTCCGACTAGATGCATGTATGCATGTTACACACACATACACACATACATACATACCTACATACATACATACATAAATACAGGCATACAGACAGGCAGACAGACAGACAGGCAGGCAGACAGGCAGGCAGGCAGGGAGGCATATTTGGTGTGTGTGTGTATATATATATATGCGCGCACATATGTACACATGATACTGAATCGAACCTTTGCAGGGCAGCCACGAAATACATGGTGCGTGGGGGACCTGCGCCATTTTGCCATCCTTGCATTGTTGTGAAAACTAGGTCGCAGTGCAAGTAGGGCATACCCACCACCAATGAAACCCAAGACCAACCCCGCCCGCACAAACCCAACGCAAGTTGTGATTCACTTAGGAACGCTAGACCATCGGAAATCCTAAACCCAATAAACCTCAATCCCTGAAACCTTTGGGGACTTTAAACCCTAAGCCCAAACGGCCCTAAACACTCTCTGGCAGCCGGAATTCCGGGCTGTCGTCCGGCACGCAGTTGGTCGCCGGTGCCTGAGCACTAAGAAGAAGAGCTTCGACCGCTATACACGTTTTTAAAAGCCGGTCTTACAGGTTTCTACGGGATTTGTAAACATGTATAATATGATGTACGAGCCTGAATACTTGGGCCAGGGAATTGAGGGATCTTATACAGCCAAGATGTTGGAAATGCCTCAGGAGCAGTATCGCTCTGTATTCCACCTGTGTATGGTATGCTGGATGCCTGAAGAGCAAAGGCATTTAAGGAGGTCTCTGCCATCATCGTCATCATCAACACCCCACCATCATCATCCTGATCCTCATCCTCGTCCTCATCCCCATCCTCATCATCGACATCATCTGTAAAAAAATCATGCTCCACATCATCTTCACCGTCGGCATCATCGTTGTTGTTGCTTCGACAATTTGTAGTGCCACCATTACCTTGATCGTGCGGTGCCATGAATATGATCATGATCTCAAGTTTATAGTACATGGCGTATCATGAACATGGTCCGTCATTATTCTGGTTTTTGTTCTTATTATTCTTCTTATTGTTGCTGCTGCTGCATGTATGTTGTAATTGCTGGGATCCTGCTCCCTTCTTCCATCCCTGCCTGGCGCTTGTAGTTGTACTCCTCGGTCTCCACAGCCTGGCCGGGAAGGATTGCAGCGCTAGCAGGTTTTAGGGTTCAGGGTTTTGGTTCTTAGGTGTTGAGGGTTAACAAGTTGGGGTTCACGATGTTGGAGTGTTGGGGCTTGGGGCTTTTCGTACAAGTTTTGGTGTGGGCTATGGGGGGGGGGGGGGGGGGGGGCTTTTCGTACAAGTTTTGGCTTGGTGTGTGTGCGCGCGTGTGTGTGAGCTTGTAGATGTACGTGTGAAGCTAGGTACGTGAGTGTGTGCAGTAGGAGTATATACCCTAGGAAATAAAACCAAAGACGGATGTCCAACACCTGAGGCACATGAAATACACTTAAACAGCCGAAGCCGCAAAACGTACTTACAGGACGGACATCTCCAGGCTACCAGTTCCGCTTTGAGGGTTTAGGGGCTTGAGTAAGGAGTTTAGTTCAAGGCAATCCAGGTGACGAATGTACTGAGGTATCCCTATACGGACTCCTGTTACATATGATACTCAAAAGGGGGCACAACACTAGACAAAAGGAGCCAGGCCCCGTGAGCCCCAGCAGAATGACAGGCACAGTTCTTGCGCTCAGCACCAGGATGAGAAGAGTTCTGATCTGATTCGTACCTTCGATTCTAAACTCAAGGTATCACTAGATGGCTAACTTACAGTGGCCACAAAGACTGTTGGTGCTTTCGGGTCCAAGTCGTCATGGAGAACTCAAACGGCCGGCCCCGGGGGCCCAAGAACTTAGGAACATCACCCAAAAGCTTTGGGTCCCTATCACAGCATGTAAGGAACACCAAAACCCTGGGTTTAGGGTTTAGGGTTTAGGACGGAGATATTCACCGAATTAAGGAGTTGACCCCTTGTCCATGAAGATCTGCAAGGGCTGCAGGGACGGGCCTTTTGGAATTGCTGGGACTCACAGCGTCGGTGGTTTACCGTTTTGGGCTTGCGATGTCGGCTTTAAGGGCTCTGGGGGGTCGGCATAGTTTTCTCAAAGTGCAGTGGCTCTTTCGGCATAGGGTTTAGGGTTTAGGGTCTCCCACTCAGCATCTTTCGGAATTGAGGGTTTCGATGCTGCAGCTCCGGGTTCATAGGGGGGGCCGGCCCTGCGAGGCACCCCGCGCCTGGCAGCCTACAGCGTAGCCATACTCCTCGTACTTATCCATGCCTCAAAAGGGGAGCTTGCCGAGAGGGGGGGGGGGGTATCTAGACACCGCAAGACCTATGGGCAGTTCTCTAAATCAGGGTCAACCCGGCCGGGAAACCGAGCCCTGCCAACCGAAGTATGGGGTTCAGGGGGGTTTATCAGGGTCTACGGGTGTCGGGTTTGTGAAGGCTTAACTAGGGGTTTCGGGTGTATGAGGGTTTAAGGCAGATGGTAAAGACGGGCAATACTAAATCTTCGAAGCGAGATCGCACACTGAAAGACCCATAGCGGCAAACCCCAGACCCTCGCCTCAACCCGAAAGCTCACGGCCCTGTAGCAACCCTAAACCCTAAGTCACGCAATAACCCTCCTTGCCTAATGTGATATCAGGCCTGGAGTCATCGTACAATAAGGGAAGCGAAAGCAGTAGTCCAATGTACTACTTGTTGAAGGTTCAATATTAACCTAAACCATAGAGCCCTTAAGTATGCTTTGTGGAACTGTGGCAGAAGGCGTGGTGCCCTAACTCGAGAACCCTAACCTCCATAGTATCCCTGATCCTCCGAGAACCTTCCGTCATCCCTTGAACACCACTCCCGGTTTAAGGATCAGGGCCCAAAGGGTGCCCCTACACCCTAAGAGGGCTCCAGGGCTTTATGGAAGCAGGTCTCCCTAACCTCAACATCCCCAATGAAATGGCTTTAAGACCCGAGCCCAGCCCAAACCCCTAAACTCTAAACCCTAAAGCCTAAGCCCTGCGGAGGAAACCGAAGTTGGAAGAACTTGGAGCCCAAGTTACAGTTCGTAGCTGTGCCTGGGCTGCGGCTTAGGGCTTTCGGCTTTAGGCCTCTGGGGTGGCCATCTTAAGCTTCTTCCCTAACCCTCCAGGTACCTACTATATAGGGCCCTAAGGGCTCTAGTACCTATATAGTAGGTACCTGGGGGGTTTGGGCCTGTGCATCTTGATAATTTAAGTTTTGGCCACAAAAATGCGATGGAGGCGTGCACCGAGTGTGGTTTGGGGCTAGTTGCGCTTGTGGCACTTATGGTTTAGGATCTTATTATGGCTTCAGGGTTTTAGGGTTGAGAGTTAAAACACCCCATTTTGTTGAAACCCTAGCTGGCATTGGAATATGCGGACTTTCGTTACCTCCTGAAGCCTTCATGACAAGTCTTGCTTTGTGCTTAGAAGGCAAATTGGCGAATCCAAACAGAATCGGAACGCCTCATCCCAGCTCAAAGACTCAACACTTGAGCCCGAGAAATCAAGACTCACGTATGCCCATCTGCGTCAACTTCAGGCAAGGAGCACTTTCCGCTGTCAAAGGCGCCGAATGGAGCAAACCTCGACAGGACGGACACTTCTCCTCACCCCTACAGGGCTGACAGGTTGAATCTAGGAGACTTAGACCTAAACCCTAAACCCTACACCCTAGTAAAGTACCTGAAACCGCAAAACCCTAGGCTCCGAAACCTGTAAATCTTTTCTCCTGGAAACTCTCAGCCAAAGCTTCGTTTTTGGAGGGTTTTGAGAAGATAGGCCGTTCGGATGTGACTTGCCAGGTCTTTATGAGCTTTATCTGGCTTCAAGAGGCTGTCACAGGGCCTTGCAAGGTTTGAAGCGGGCTTTGGGGTTGTGGCTGAGCTTGTGGCACTTCGTGCTTGCATCCTTCGGATCGCCAGCCAGAATGTACAAGTGTGGCGTAAGGGACCCGCAAAGATCCAGCAGCAGAGTTGACAGAACACGCGGATTCTGCATGTAGGTGTCTAAAAGGAACAGAAGCCCTATACTCTGTTGAGCCGATGCCCTTGCGACAAGAACGTACTTGCAATGGTCTACGTCAAAACCTACGTCCTGTGCCAGGTATGGATTTTCGTGCAGACCCTGAATGTTTCGGCGACCCGCCCCCCCCGATTGTCAAGTAGATCCTGCCTACCCAAAAACTTACTTCGGAACCAAACCACACCAACATTTCCGTGGTTAACTGAAGTGTCATGACTGCTGCCATCAACGTCATCATCATTCCCCACTACCGATGCTATTGTCGTCGCTTCACTTCCATGATGCCTTCTCTTACTACTGCCGTCTAGCATGCATACATCGTATATAACACATGACTAAAACTGAAAACTGCAGTAACTCTAAGTGCAGCTTCCGGAATATTCCTAAGCTGTGCGGCTGCTTGCCGTAGCCACTGTCACCGTATATCCAGTGGACGTGCTTGAAGGTGTCGTCGGGATTCTTCATCTTGGACGCAGGCAGCCCTAAGTCCTGAACTTCCACCGTCAACTCGAAAAGCTGCGCCAAAAATGCAGGTGCAAGCAGCTGGATGGAAAGGTTGAAGGGGTCTCGGACTATAAAGACCCTACGTAGACACCCCGGACCACAAAACTAGTAATTAACTAGATGACTGGAAGTCATGCGCGAGTTCTTGTCATGCTACAGTTGCGGGTTTAGGGTTACGGTTTGAGGTTTAGGGTAGGGTTTAGGGTTTAGAGTATGCGTGAACGAGGGAAGGCGCAGGTAACCCTTGAGAGCTCTGAAAAGCTCAGGATGCAGATTTCAGGCTCCAGACAGAAATGATAGCGACCTGTGCAAACAACGTATGATGTGTTCCTGTTTTTATCAGTTATAACCTGTGCTAACTTTAAACCTTCCCCAACGACGAAGCTTACATGCAGTCTCTAAGCTCGAAGAAGAACATAAACCGTCACCCAACCAACCTACACCCCAAACCCTCCCTAAGCTCTTGTCGACTCGAAGCCTAATGCATGCTTCAATGCTTATTAAGGTTGATGGAGCACCATGAATGTGGACCGTGTTTGCACGATGCGTGTCTCGGCAACCCCGCCAACCTGCACCCTCGACCCATAAGCGAAGTCCTGAAGTTCAGCCAGGACGCCGTCACGAGATATCTCAGGATGCCTGGTCATGCGCAGGGCGAGGGCACAGGCTTAGAGTCTATGGTGCAGGGCAAGTTGCGGCCCTCGGTTAGGATTTAGGGTTTAGGGTGTAGGTGGTTAGAGAAGGGGGAGGTGTGTCATTGAGTATTTACAAGTTCAAGCATTTTCCGAATTGCGAGATTAATCTAGGAGGCCTTAATTAACGGAATAATATATGGAATAGGGCTTTGGTGCAGATCATAGGGTAAGAACAGTATTGCTACATGTACAGGCCCCTATATTATGGTGCGGGCTGTGCGGAATAAGGCTTCATGATTTAGGGATGTATGGTTTGTAGCTCGGGGCTGGGAAGAGAGTAACTACACTGATAGCCACTTCAAGCTGTAGTGAACCCTAAACCCTAAGCCCTAAAGCCTAAACCCTAAACCCTTAACCGGCCTGTTTACAGTCTTTTAGAAGTACGCACGAACTTTGAGGCCAACAGGCTTGTGGATGGAGGCTCCTGTCTCTCCTTGTTTCAACCCTACGCTCTACCTTACACCACCAAAACCTCCATTTTTTGTAGGGTCCCTATAAATACATTCTATAATAGGATCTGTGATAAGAACCTACACAAAAAGTAGGTTGTGGTAGTTCAAGGTAGGGCTTATAGAGGGCACCGTAAAGCATAGCGCCTCAAGCTCAAGTAAGCCCCTAAACCCTAAATCCTATATAAGTCAATATAGCAGGACAAGCCGCTGAATCTTTTTCATGACGATGGTACCAGAGACCCCGACGCCCTGCTTCTACAGCGGCCTTTAGAGATACAGGATCTAAACACATCGAAGCATACTTGTGGATGACTTTTGCATCATTACCCTTTCTATGTGCCAGGGATCCCAAGGTGGTAGGGTTTAGGCTTCAGGGTATAGGGTTTAGGGTTTTAGTATAGGGTTTAGGGTCGTAGGGTTTAGGGTTTAGGTAGCATCTTCATAAAACCCCACAAGCCTCAACCCTAAGACACAGCCGAGCAGCGTGTAACGTTGTACTTCCGCGGGACCGATGCTACGACTTCCTCACCATGCACACTCTCGGATTCGGGTGTATTTATGGTTTAGGTTTTAGAGTCGTCGGTTGTTAGAGCTTCGGGATATCGGGTGAGTTGTTCAAAGTTTGGATTTGCCATTTCAGGCCTATAGATTTTCAGGGCTTAGCCCCTCATTAAACCGAAACCACAAACAGGTGAATTCTCCGGCAGAAAAGACTTTCAATGAAGGCTTTTGCGCGTAGCCTCCCGGGTTCCCTGGGGTTTTGTCAACTAACCCGCAGACTCCGGCAGCCCTGAATCCCTGCGATGAGGGTGGTTCGTCCCCGGCTTGGTAATACATGGTAGGCGTCGATAGTGCTCGGAGCAGGGTTTTCGTTTATGCCGTCTTTATAAGAGTGTAAGGGGATTGTACTGACGACTTCAACGCCCATGCCCAGCCCCCAATGACTCCCAAACTTAAGTTCCAAAACTCCGCAGCCGCACGCCCCAAAAGCCCAAGCCCTTGTAGAGCCTCATACGGCAGAACCTTACGGCTCTACAGGACTCACTAATCAGGGATTTGTGTTTAGGATAGCAGCAATCTAGCTCAGTCCTTCGGGGCCTGCCATGGGTCATGGGCCCTGCCATTCTCGGCATCTAAAATTTCATGTAATATAGTTTAACAAACTGTGGATACTATATCTATATATATATACATACATACATACACACCTATATATATATATCTCTCTCTCTCTCTATCTAAATGGATTCTAGTATACTCTGGTACATGACAGCACATTAAATTTAAGTACATCATGGTACAGGATCGTATACAACAGCATGTAGAAGGCTTACAATTTGGTACTGAAGCCCTTTTGGGCCGGAACCCAGAAGCCTAAAGCCCCAAACGCTAATCTCACAACTCTACACGCCCAACCCAATACTACATGTCATACATGTGTGTGTATATATATATTTTTATGTTTATTTATATATTTACTTAAATATATATATATATACATATATATATATATATTTTTTTATTTATATTTACATAAGCAGACAAACATCAGAAAACAGCCCGCCAGCTGCCTTCTGCAGGTACC